TTAGATTTTTTCTTCACAGAAGCAGTCAGGCAAAGCAGATCCCTTCCCCATCACATAATCATCCCTATGTACCTTCCAAAGGGCATCTTCCAATTCCTTCCCCACAAGGCCCTGAGAAAAAAGCACAGAATAATCTTTCCTCTTCAAAAACAATGTCCTATCCAACCCCTTGAGAGCCCTCATCGCCGCCACCATCTTGTCCATGTTCCCGAAATAGGTTGCCACGTAAGCATTGCTGTTAATAGACACATAATAATCAAGCGCCGCTTTCGTGTTCCCGTGCATTTTTGTGAAATTCTCACCTTTGATCAGACCGGATTTGGTCACCACGTTCGTGTAGACAGAGCTTAGCCCTTCCAACTCCATCAGACCATCGCCAGCTGCTAAATATATGTTTGTGTTTGTGGGGATAGAAAGGGCTTTAAGGATTATGCCCGTTTCGTTTGGTGTAAGGGGACACTTCCCACGGTTTCTCCATATTCGGGCAGCTTCCCCCGTCCAAGGCTTCCGGTCACCTCGGGCAGCCTCTATCGCTTTCAAAGAAGATGAAGAAAGGTTTGGATAGTCACACTGACTGTAAGCCACCATGTCTGGTTCAAACCGGAGGTGGAGGGAGAGGAACGGTTTTGGTATGGTTTGAAGAAGATCCGAGGCTTTCTTTTCCAATGACCCTACAAGGCGTAAGGCGTTATAACAGCCTTGACAAAATGCAGCTTTTGCATGCAAAGGGTACCTGCAAGATCAAAATGGCAATTGTTAAAAAAAATACTAATATAAAAGTGAAAGTAAGAAAACAAAAACTGCAAGATGCTCCCCCATTTATGAGAAAGTGGAAAATAAACATTGCACTTCAGCTGTTTATGGATAATTTGGATCACGGAAAATGAAAGGGAAAGGAAAACATCCTAGGGAATCTAGTTTTTTAAATGCTTGGGTTTACCTTAAAAAATATGACTGATTAAATTGCATTAGAGCTTTTCGATATTTTATGTACAATCGTATTTCTAAGTCCATATTTATTTGAAATATATAAGACAACGAGTTTGTACAAATACCTAAAATGGACTATTGAGTGCCCACATTAAAAAAAACCTCAAGAGTTGGGAAGATAAATTCTTGAAAATCATAGCAATGTATGGAACAGAGATCATAATCTCAGAATATGTAAAAAAAACCTATACCTGTCCCTCCTTTGACTCATTGCAGGTGTTATAGCAATATAATGATGCTCCAACAGGGAAGGGAGAACATTTTCAACATAGTCAAAGATGCCTTTACGCTTGCTGCAATCAACTCGGAAGGGTTCCTTTGAAGCAATCTCGGCAGGAAGCTCTTTTACCACTTTAACAAAGCCATCCAATTGGTTGATGAAATAATCCACATCAAAGATATCTGAAAAATCACTGAGGATGGAAACTAAATGATAAATAAAAATGTCGTATTTTTTCTAAGGTCCCATTTTGTACACATGATTCACATTTCTTTTTCCCAACTGAGTCTGAAGTCATAAAAAAATACAGCATTCAGTACAAAAGTAACCATTCTCAGATTATCCCCCACCCACCCTCATTACTGTACAAGGACATCTTGGTCTTATAATCCAAATTATTCCTATTTTTCCTTCCATATTCTATAGCAACCAAATATCAGAACAGAATCTTGGATAGTCGGATTTATTTCATTCTTATATTTGTCCCCATGAAATTCTGATTCCGTTCTTTCCATATTCCTTCACATACCAAACGTTATATTAGGGTTTTTGTATGCTTATCAAATAATGGACTAGACCCATTTCCCTGCACATTATATGGGTTCTGCAGTATTTGGCATCCGTTTCTTAACTAATGTCTCTCCAACCATATGCCCCATGCTTATAAGAACATTGAACTCCAAGCACAACCCATTTCCAAAACTATCATACCAATACATGTGCATGCTAGAACATAGGACCTTGTTTGGAATGGCTTCTTATTCTTAAGAAATACTATGTACTATGTAAGAGGATTCCTGGTACTTGGGTGTGATATCCATGGTTGGAAGTTAAAAAAAAACTTAGCATCTCATATGCACATTTAAGTAAAGGACTGAAACTTAATGAGCATATTCCTTTAAAAAAAGTAAAAATTCAGATCATGGGTTACCTTGATTCGTTCCAGTATGCAGCCACTTCAAACTTGGGAAGAACAAGAGTTGCATTAAGCAAACGAGCTATGCCAACTCCATCACATAACTGCAAAACAAAGAAATATTCAAGTCAAATTCATCACCCGCTGATATGAAGCGGCAGGTTAGTTACCACTTACCATCCCATTAACAAAACTGATTAATTTCTGCCCAAAACCATACAGATTTTATCTCAATACCAGAACCCATCCAGTGCCCGATTAATACGTACCCAAATCGAGCTCATTTGGGTTTGGACATGGTAAAAGCAAACAGTAATACTCACCCGCTGGCACTCTAACGGGTAAAAAATGAAATGACACTTGAAACAAATTGAGGGTCAGTTTTTCATTTCAGGTTATCAAGAACTTACATCCCGCCTCATCTGATTGAGCCCACCATAACAATCCACTCTGATGTAACCATTGGTCCCATCTGGTAGAGCTGCAGTTTTTCAAGACAAAAAACCATATGCAAATTCTGCATTGGAAGCCAGACAAAGTTTATAACTTTAGAAAATTCAAAACGTAAACCCCCATATATAATATTTATCCAGACAAGTNCCCCCCCCCCCAAATAGCATAACTTAGATAAACTTAGAGTAAATATATCCCAAAAACACAAGCCTGAGCTTATGGTCATTCTATAATCTGAATATTAGTTCCCTCCATGGAGGCATGGACTAAAAAATACTAATATTGAGACTTAGGTTCTACCGTCGAGGACAACATAAAATAGGATAGGAGTAGCCCAAACCTTATTTGATCATAGTTCTCTATGTGTTCATTAATCTTTTTTTTACGGATATCAGCATTTAAATGAGGTTAAAGTACCAAATGTTTAATTGATATACATATGTCCAACTCTGGTATTGATGTATTGGGCTGGATGACCAACAACAACAACCTAGTAGAATCCCACTTAAGTATAGTCTGGGAGGGTGTGTGTACACAGATCTTACCCCCACTTCAAAGTAGAGAGTTTGTTTCCAAGAGACTCCAGCCCGGCTCGAGAGACCTTATCTCTATTGTTTCCAAGTAGAAGGTATTAGGCTGGACGACGGAGCCTGTTAAATAGGAGCTTCAAGCCCTAGCCCAAGGAGGCCCAAAAGGAGAAGGCGGATGCTACCTGCTAACCCAAGAAGAAGTCCAGAAAAGATGGCATACTTGGCCCACAAGCTCGGAAGACGTGCTCGGGCCTCAGGGATGAGGCAGATTTCTTCGCACCCCTGTACCCATTTGGACCTCCCATGTGGGCTTGGCCCAAACGTCCCATACGTAACGTCACCTAGTGAAGTGGTGAGGTTTCAGTCATACAGACCTAAGTTTCATGGATTCTTTAAATAAGTGCAGCTTCTTGTCTCCAAAACATTTACTTCGGCAAGCCCCAACATCCAAATCCTTCAAAAGTTTTGGAAAAATTAGCACTTTCATGCTTCTGAATTCCGACCCCGTCCCAGCATGAGTACATGTCCCTCTTGGATGGGGAAGGACAAAGGAAATGCATAAATACTAGCCCTCTTCGAGGAGGAAGGACATAAGCTAAACCAATCGAACTCTTACTTGCATTCTACTGTGTAATTGTTTAATTAAAAAAAATCCCCGGATCCCCTCATCCATCAGGTTTCTTTCATTTTCGCGACTAGATAAAGAGCTTCATCAAAAAAGTCTCAAAAAAAATGCGAAAACTAACCAGAAAAATTATGCTGGAGCCACCAATTGCATGGCCGCCAGTCCACAAGCCTCCGGACGCTCCATATTTCTGGTCTTTCAAGTCTGATTCACAAAAAAACGGGTGAGGTTAGAAAATCGGGAGACGGAATTCAGGCGAAGAAAACGCGGATCTCTGCATAACCGATTGAAGAGAACCGAAATCGACTGGAAATGGGAAAACCCTAGAAAAAACATGAACAAAACAGAAGGGGATGCGCGAGAAACTTACCGCGGAGAATCGAGGGAGATTGGGGCCTGGGAAAAGGGATGCAGAGGAGGAAACAGGACAATGGCGATGAAGATGGAGAAAGTGAGGACTGTTGCCCCCAACAATGGCTTCTTCACCGTTGACGCCATCATTTCTCTACAGAGAGTGAATTTGCAGATATGGCTTCTTTAACGAGGGAGCTCTCAAGTCATTGCAGCCGGTTCGGGCCAAGTACCAGGCCCGGACTTGTTTTTAACTTCAAATTTTAAAATTGGAATAGATCTTAACCCAACTTGGCGACTTATTTGAAACGGACCAAAAGGTCCAAATCTTAACATGATGAAACATATCTACGTATCTCGATAATTTTTATTTGTTTGCATGTTTCTATTAGGTGTAAGATAATAATAATATTAACAATAATAAAAATAATTTTTTATTATTTTAATTCTGAAAGTAGATTATGGGGGCATGCACGCCATTTATAACTCACGGGCGAGTAGAACTTGGGGATGAGTTAATTGTGTTAGGAGAGAGTTGTGTTGGTGTAAGATTTTGTTGTCTTAGGTGAGAGTTGTGTTAGATTGGAGTAAAATTAGATGCGCAAATAATAAATCAAAATATACAATAGATATTTTTAAAAGAAAATGATTCACAAGCATGCAATTGAAGACACACCTAACAAATTTTAAAAACTTCTCAAAACACTCAAAACTCCTCACTTTAAGTAGACACAACTAAGGAATATTTTAATATTAAAAAACTAAAATAAATAAATAATGAATTACACATATTTAATCATGGTATATTTTAAGATAAAAAATAATTTTACACCAAAAAAATGGTACAAAATAAATAATGAATTACACATATTTAATCATTGTAGTATATTTTAATCATGCAAATGGAACGCAGCTTAAGTACTTCCATTTTTAATGCAATTACTTTTTTTAAATTCCTTTTTTTATAATTAATTTTGAAGTGTAGGGAATGTTAGAGGATTCTCATTCTTTATACAAAAAACAAAGACACTTATGTGCAGATAGTTATTGTGTGTATTTCTCATAAAAGTATGAATCACATTGAAACAATACTACCACCACCACTACTACTATCATTCACTTGGACTAGAGTAGGCTGAATCACAGTTGTAGCATGAGCAAAACATTGGGGAGGATAGACGGGGCCTTCCGTAGAGCCATAAGCGTTCCAACAGTAGAAGGAGGTCCCACCGCTTCCCCGAGAAGAGGAAACGAGCTCCACGTCCTTCAAGAAGATCTTCCTGCACGGGGAGGTGTCGCTGCAGGCTATTCGTATCGCCTCTGTCGTTGCGGAAGTTCCTTTGATTCTCATGAAAGCCACATTGCTTATACCAACTGCTGAGGTCTGCATTGTTTGTCAAGACTAGTGTGATTACATATACATCTCGGGAGAAATGCCGAAGTAGGACTTAAAACAATGCGCCATATACTAAAATAGGATCTTCTATGTTTTTATAACAAAATATGACTTATAATCTCATATAATGGCAAAAATACTGTGAAATGCCAAAAAACAATGCCAAATTGCGGCGTTTACATTGGCAAGGCTTCTATTTAAGGAATACAAATATCGGAGGTCTTATTTTGGTGCAAGTTTCACATTTTAGTCTTATTTAGATAGATTTCTTATGTATCCAAAGGCCGTTTCGTAAGTTTTGGAGTGTTTGTATGAAATGGGTTCTGAAATCTAAAAGATATTATACGGGTTTTAAAATCTAAAATGAAAGTGTTTTTGGAGATCAGAATTGATGTTTGATAGTGATGGGCACAAGTGGTCGGTGGCGGGGGTGGTCGGGGATTGAGGAGATATCAAACTCCTGTAATGATATCTCACAAATTTGAGAGATTCGTTTTTGCTCGAGTCTTGCTAGGTGACAGTGAGGTTCAAACTAATAACCTCTTGGACAACAATGCTTTGGTATCATGTCAAAGAACCAACTCAACCAACGAACACAAATTTAAGTAAATAAAGACACACCTGGTTCGAACATGGCTGGGCTGAATCACAATAATATTGATCTACTATAATGGGATTTGAGACATTTTGCATCACCATATCCTCATAGGTAATCTTCCTTGCAAAACCTCTCCCTCCCTAATTTAAAAACAAATTGAAACAAAGGGAATATCCCTTGAATAAAAGAGAATAAATTCAAAAGAAAAAACAATCCTTGTGACATATTTTTCAGATAGTTAAAGATAACAATACCCTTAAGTCTAAAAAACTTTAAATTGCAAAACATTCTAATGAGTTTTTAATTGAGGGGCATATATGAAAAGCCAACACAAAAAAATAACTTTATACTCCCTCCGTCCCAAAATCACTTCGCAACTTCCTAAAGTCTCAACTTGATTTTTGGCATCCTTTACACACTAAAATTACTATAACACTCCTACATTTTTCATTTGACTTTTTCTACCGCTCTCATTTCTTTCCCACTCTAATTAACTTTTCACTTTTCGGAGGAAATTGTGAAAGCCAACACACTTACTTTGTGTCTTAAAATATGGGAAGTCAAAATGAGACAAGAACAGATGAAATATAACAAATTTACGGAGGGAGGAAGTAAAAATTATCCGGAAGAAGAGACTAAGATGGGTGTCATGTTATGACATCAAATGATTTGAGATTTGCACGGTGCTTCGTTCGACCTTGAAGAAGTTCTTACCTTTAATCCCCAGCCCCCCGCCCCCCGCCCCCAAAAAAAGCCAGGAACTGTGGACATGGGGTGGGTTGAAAAGTTTAGGGGATATAAACCACTTAGAGGTGGTTAAATAGAGCCTCGTATGACCTTCAAATCACCTAGTCTCATAATACGACACCCATGCTGAGTGTCAAAAGAATGGTGTTCAACATTATTTACCTGCCATGTTTTAATCCTTGCCCCATTCTTGGTATTCGAAAGAAATGTTCCTTTTACACTAATGTCGTGCACGTTATCCCATGAATTTGATTTTCCCAGGCTTCCTATACTGCAACAGATCCATCAAGATCAAGAATCCCATCTCTTATATGGTAAGTCATTAGGTAGAATGATAGACTTTAATGCACCGGAATATACAAAAATTACAACTGAGATAAAACTATATGAAACCCTTTGTATATTTACAGGAAAAATGAGTATTTAAAAGGTCAAAGATACAATTAAAGAGGCAATCACGGTCCACTTTCCTGGGAGGGTCGGATCGGGTCCAATCCTCACATGATTATACGGGCTTAGTGGTTGAGAGTGATACCTTATACCGTGGCCCGGCCCGCAAACAATGTTTCTAATACGAATCCGTGAGGAGTTTCCAACTATGGATATGCAGTCGTCTCCTGCTCATTTCAGTTCATCACAACAGATGATCATAAGCAACTAAATATCAATCAAACAATGGCAGTCGGTATATGTTGTTGAAGAGTGTGGGCATAGTCTAAAAATGCATGAACTGTTGGATTCTAAATAGATCTGACAAGAATTGACCCGACCTGTTTTTAACCCAAAACCAGACCCGTAAATACTAAGTTTTGAGTAAAGAACCAAACATGATCAAACCTGAAATAACCCGCTAAAAATCGATCCAGCCAATCTTTTCAAAATCATTTTTCTTAGTATGAAATATAATATGATAAAGATACTGTTATAATATTATTTTTTTCTTTTTACTCTTTCTTCGTGTATAAACTTACCATTCCAAAGAAATTTTTCTTTTATATATATATATATATATAACTTTATGGAAAATGCTAGAATAAATCTAAGTATTCTAAAAATTAAAGGTCATAACTCGTAGAGTCGACCTGAACCCAATGATACTGGATCATAAACACGCATTTCTTAACTCAAACCCAAAAGAAATGAACCAGAACTTAACCTCACCGACATGTTTGCAGGCTAAAATTCTAAATTAGCATTTTCATAAACCAAATGCCTTGAGAGTTCTTTTGAAATGGGCCAAATACACAAACCTGTGGCAATAGTGCAGTCCTTAACAGTAACACTTGTAGAGGAACTTATGTGAATGCCATCAGTGTTAGGGCTAGTAGAAGGCGCAACAACCTGAACCCCGGACACTGTCACCTTCACGCAGCTGGTGAGGGATAAGTGCATTTGTTGACTATTTAGCATCAGAAGCCCCCCAATTCTCAAGTAATTACATTTGTGGAAAGTCAATGCCTGCACTCACTGGGCACACTCTTAGAAAAAAACAACCACTCATTTCATCCAATTCATGACCAATGATATTAAACTCGGACCGACAAAAAACCCACTGTGGCAGTCAATTCCTGGGTTTTCCAGGCCAATCTGAGTTTTTCCGGGTTTTCAAGTCACCGACCTGACGGGTTTAGTGACTGGCTTCTGGTTCAACCAGTCTGACCAGTCGGTCTGGTCCGATTTTAATAACACTATTCAAGACAGATTGGAAGCAGCAGAAACTGACCTTTGGAGCATGTTGACAGGGCTGCCAAAAGGGAAAGATGGAACTAAATTCAAGATATAACAAAAATAAATCCGAGATAACCAATGTTTTTTACTAAGAACTCCAATACCCTTATAGTTTCTAATAACACTCAGAGCCCTTAAGTTTAATTTTAAAAACTCCAAGGTGACAATTTGACACTAGCGGTAAAAAAAATAACTGTGAAATGTCCAATATACCCTTGGAAGGAGTAAAATTTTACAAACCAGTTCAATATGAAATTTGCACCCGCCAGCGAGGTCCAAGTAGGATTTGAATTTGGTGGATGAGATGTAGGGGTGGCGGTAGAATTCAGTGAAGTTGGTTCGGGTAAAATATTACTCCCAAGGGCAATATTGGGTACTCCACAAATATTTTTAAATACCGAAACCGGATTGTCACCTCACGACATTTACAATCAAATGTAAGACCCCTGCGTGTGATTCTAAAAATATATGGAGCTTGAAGTTCTTTTCATTGGTCTTCTCGAAAATGATAACTAAATGAGAGGAGATGGGAATTACATTGGTTTTGTTGATCTTGCAAGACTCAGCCCACCATCTTAGTCCCATCCCATTTATGGTTCCTCTCCCTTGTACTGTCAAGTGTTTAACATTTGCAAAATAGAGCCATTTATTTCTATCCAAACCATCCCATATTTGTGGATCTTCTGGGGCAACAATGGTGCCAAACACCTAGGTTACATGAGAATGTAAATTATGAATAAAAATTATCATTGAGTAAAGTTAAACGCCCAAATACAAACAAGGCCTTAAGTTGTCCCCATTTTTAGTTCCTAGTCTTCTTTTATTTTTTTCACTGATCGTGCACAACATTGGATTTTTTCACTTTTTGTCTTTTTCGGGTTGCTGCGATGAAAATCAACATAAAATAGGTCACATAAATGGAAATGACATAATAGTCATGAGATCCAAACTGAAGAATTTTCCGAGAAAAAAATGGAAATGACATAATAGTCATTAAGGAAAAGTGAAATTTTTTCGAGAAATCAATGGAAATAGCATAATAGTCATAAGACACAAAGTGAAAACTTCTCCGAGAAATAAATGGAAGTTGCATAATCATGAATCCCAATGCAAAAACTTTTCCGAGAAATAAATGGAAATGACATAATATTTATGAAGCCCAAAGTGAAAATTTTTCCAAGAAATAAATGGAAATGGCATAATATCCATGAGACCCAAAGTGAAAACGTTTTTTAGGAACAAATGGAAATGGCAATTATGGCATAATAGTCATGAGACCCAAGGTGAAAACTTTTTCGAGAAATAAATGGAAATAGCAAAATAGTCATGAGACACAAAGTGAGAACTTCTCCGAGAAATAAATGTAAGTGGCATGATAGTCATGAAGCACAAAGTGAAAACTTTTCCAAGAAATAAATGGAAATGGAATAACAGTCATGAGACCCAAAGTGAAAACTTTTCCAAGAAATAAATGGAAATGGCATAATAGTCATGAGAGCCAAAGTGAAAACTTTTCCGAGAAATAAATGGAAATGGCATAATAGTCATGAGACCCGAAGTGAAAAAAATTCCAAGAAATAAATGAAAATGGCATAATAGTCATGAGACCTTTGTGTGCTCCTTGTGTATGTGCTCTTATTCTGTTCATGCTACTGTCTTTAGCTTCTATATTATGTCGAGGATCTCTTGGAAACAGTCTCTACTACCAAGTAGGGTAAAGTATACATATGCACACCCTCCCCAGCACTATTTTTATGAAATTTACTGGATTTATTGTTGTTAGTAATAAAAAACTCCTATTTGCATTTTTTTATCACAAAAACGTCATCTCTAAATTCTAATAACAAAAAAAACAATATCAGATGCATCAAAGTTTAAATGAATATCACCTTGAGGGACAACCTTGATGTGCAAGGTCCTGTAAAATTTATTGGTCTAACAATGAATTGTCCATCAGGAACAACAATAACTGCCCTGGACTGCGAGGAACAAGCTTCTTTCCAGGCATCTTGAAAAGCCTGATCAACCATTAAAAGCCATTTTAAATGCATACATATAAAGCTAGCTTATCAATTACATTTGATCATCATTATATAACATATTCGAGGAAAAATATGAATTCTATCAGACCAAATGATTCAAGCATATGATCACATGAGTATAAAGCAAACGCTTCAAAGATTAATCTCAATTAATGACCAAATATCTGTCAATCTTGAAACTTTAAACAACTACAGTGGCAAATTCACTACTAACAGCTTCCAGAAAGTATTTTTCCATTTTTTTGACAATCAAAGCACAACACAAACTCAGTAGTCAGTATAATCCCAACTACATTATGGAATGGGAGGTCAAGATGTATACAGATTTACCCCTGTAAAACAGAGAGATTGTTCCTGGATGCATTACTGCATTTAGCCATTTACTACCCAAAAATTCACTTCACTGAAGGTAAAAAAAAAAACCAGGGGAAGTTTAAGGTGCCATTTTGATTCAGCCCATTAATCATTTGAAGCTAAAAAAGAATTGTCAAAACTCAAAAATAGACTCTTTTAACTCCATTTGGCAATGGACACACTTTGGTAAACAAACAAAAACAATTTTTGGATCAGAAATCTAAATTAAAAAAATTTGGGGGGCTTACACAAGTGTCGTCAGTGGAGCCATCACCTGCAGCTCCAAAATCAAACACATTGAGTGCATTCCCACTCTCAGCTGTCGGCAATATATACACACTGTACACAAATAAATTGAGAGCATAAAATATGAATCTTGGGGGAAAAGAATAATAGTCTATGCGCCTCATCATCATCATCATCATCATGGGAGTCGTCTTCTTCAGGGCAGTGGAGAAGAAGACTGTTAGAAGAATGGGGAGAAAGAAGAAGGGGATTTATAATGTTCATCTGCAGATGATGATGACATTTTTGAGATTGATTTTCTTTTTGGAAAAAGGGTTTGAACAATAAACGTGTTTGCAGGGGGGGGATTTTGCAGAATTGCAGCATTAAAGAATAACAATTGCGGATTATTTCTTGGGTAAAGCATAACAGCATAAAGCATGAAAAATGTTTTTTTATACTCCGTGTTACCAGTACTAAAATAGGGCAAATTTGCTCCCCTTTCACGGTTACACAGAATACTTATACCATACATCCAAATGTACATTGTTTCCGGTACATCCAATTCATTACTCATTTTCGAATAATGAAGTATCCATTTTTGAGTAATAGAATAATCATTTTTGAGTAACTAAATACTCATTTTTGAGCATAATTGTATCTTAGAAAAATGAGCACTCAATTACTTGAGAATGAGTATTCAATTGCTCAAAAATGAGCATCCAGTTGCCCGTAAATGAGTACTCATTGTGGATTTACGGAAAAATATTGTACAACCTATTGTATGATACGAAGTATATATTATCCCGTTTACCTATTGGCTTATTATTGTTTGTGCTCGTGAATCTTTGTGAAAAAGACTAAAATGTTGGGGAAATTAATGATAACTTGGATGAATCGAGAGTTGTGTAAACACTTTCAGATTGAATATTTTGGTTGTTCACTCCAAAATTCAATCGGATAAAACTCGAAAGTATCAAGAACGAAATATGAGGATTGCTATGAAAAATCCGAACTTGAATCCGACCAAGGCCTGCGGGAATTTATAAACTTGCGGCAGAGGGAGAAGACGCCTATCGCGCGTCTCTTTCCCAAGTTACGCGATCCTTCGCGCGGAAGTTCTCCAAAATTCGGTGCTATCCAATCGGAGGTTTTCTTTTAAAGAAAATCCGAAAATTAAAATCCAATTGAATTTTTTAACATAGCGCCTTGCCCAAAATAAAAAATTTTACCACCCAGCCAGGGGCTCTGCCCCTTGGACCCCGCTGGGGCTGCCGCCCCTTGAACCCTGCTCGGGGGCGCTACCCCCTTGGAACCCCCGATGTAACGAGATTTTTATCGTAACAAACTCAATGAAGCGTGCACTCCGCACCACCAAACTTCGTTGATGATTATTAGGATATCATTGGTCATAGTTTTTCCAATTACACTAAAATATATAACATAAAATAGGTTTATAAAGTAAACTAAAATGTGACGTTCATATTTTTATCTCCAAAATTAAATTTATAATATCAATAGTATCAACAAATAATACAAAAAATATTATAAAATTTTAATATACACTGTCACATTATCACAACGTAATACTCTTATTTTAGAATAAAATCATGTCACTTCAATTTTCGGAACAAGATTTATAATTTGGGTCATAAACATCCAAAATAGAAGTTTTGAATTTTTTTAGGACTATAGGAGTTATTTAACAATGAAAAGACAAATTTTCCATTGTTTAAGATTTAGGTTTTCAGCTCCAATTAAAGCATAATGTGATGAACTTTAATCTACCGTACACGACAATGAGCCATGATTAAAAAAATATGAGAGAAGAGCTTCAAGAAAACTTGTATACTCATAGTTCCATCCTTTTTTCAGGCATGCATAATGTACTTTTACAGCCCATTTATGATCCACTTTCCCAATTGTGTACTTGGTTTCCATACATGGCATATTGGATATTTGGATTTAAACCCCTTCTTCTAAGGTCTACTCTGAAATTTAAGTTTTCTCACATTTTTCATAGACTACCAATTAGTTCTTCTCTTCTTTACAAAAGGTCCAATTACTTTATGATATCAATACACTAAGGATCTGTTTGGTACACGAAATTGACAGAATTCAAATTGAATTAGGAGTTGAAATTCTATAGAATTGATTTGAATAAAATTGAATTCTCCAATTCCAATTCATTTTTGGCACTACCAGTTCAAAATCTGCATATTTTTGTGCTACTAAATAACAGAATTGGAATTGTTGTTCCCAAATTGAATTTCATCATTTGAATTCCGTGTATCAAATGGAGCCTAAGGGTTTGTTAGGTAAACAGAATTGACGGAATTGAAATTGAATTGGAATTAAAATTCTATAAAATTGAATAGAATTGAATTCTCCAATTCCAATTCACTATTTGCATTACTAATTCGAAATCCACATATTTTTGTGCTACCAAACAGAAGAATTGAAATTGCAGTCTTCAATTTCAATTCTATAGATTGATTTTCGTGTACCAAACGGAGTCTATGGCTCTTAAAATTAGCATGGACCTTAGGACCCCTTGAGAATTTGCCACATGTACTCCGTACTTGGACGGGTTCTAATATACAGAGTACTCTATAGTCTGTACCGTCAATATGTTAGAGTAACTAAAAGTTTGAACTTCTGGTTGAGTTAATTTTTGAAATGATATTAGTGTCTTAATGACTAAGATGTTATGAGTTCAAATCTTAATGCTACCAAATTTAAAAATTTAATGTTTACTTACAAAGTTTGAATAAACATCAACCTAACTTGCATGTAGGGGAATGTGTTAAGATATAACACATTTTCTGAGTCTACAACAAAAATACTCAAATTTTTGATTAAGTTGAATTCTTGACACAACAATAGTGGTTTGAACTTTATGGTTGGATCTTTTGAAAGCAAGTCCAATGAGAGTTCCAACTTGCCTTCTCTCACCTATGTGGCGTCCCATTTTATTTTGCTTTGCATTGGAGTGAAACTACAAATTGGGACTAGTCCCTCCAAAATGGGTCGGGTTGTAAATGATTTGAATCGAATCAAATAACGAGATATTTGAATTTATATTTGTTTAATTTTTTCGAATACGAATCCGAACATGAAACGAATTAAAAATAAGATTTGTATTTGTATTTGATTAATATTTGAATACTTAATGAATCCTAAACGAATATTCGAATAATCATATTCTGCAATTTATATGGACCAACATTGATTTTGAATAATTTAACTTACAATATTTATTATACTATATCTCAAAATATTAATACATTTGCGTCTTACACAAATTCTATGTTATAAAACATAACTATTAAAATCATATGTTTTAGATTTTTGTGTTACGTTAACTAAACGAGATCTTAATAATTTAAGTGTATTTTACATTTCATGAGTTTGACTGACCATTGATTTTGAAAACATGGTCTATGTGTGTATATATATTTTATGAATTGATCAATGAAAACATGTATACAAACGTAAGTCATAGAAAGGGCGTAATAGTTATTAAGAAGAAAGATATGAGATAGAGGAAGTAAAAAAGGTATTAAAAGTTCTACAAAATAAGATGTGATAAGAATAACTTATTTTACCAAATAATAAATAAAAATAAATAAAAAAGTTATCAGATAGTTAGAATAACAAATTATAATCTATTGCGAGGAGAGAATATAAGTAATATCATCACCTATTTTTTTAATAGCACTACTAAACCCATTACCACATTTTGTAACCCCTTCAACGGAAAAGTGTTATGCTAAGTATAAGGTCTTTGTAAATATGAGATGTAGACTCTACTCTTTGTTTTTAATCTGTGAATAGATTTTAATTTAACCCCTCTCAAGTAATCGTTCGACCGGTTGTGAGACACCCTCATGGGATTCATCATTTTTCAAGGGAAAAGTGTGCATCCAATTCTAACCCCATTGTTTGAACGATTGTGTGTCGGTCAAAATTAAACCTCTTTATTTTAAATTCATTTATAACTAAAAATCCAAAAACTTATTGACTATGAGAATAAATAATTTTTTATACCTATACACAAATGACTAGTGACTCTATTACAATATAGTATTCGTTTATACATTTTCAACCTATTGAATCTCGTATTGGAACTCTTTAATTTTAAGGAAAAAATGTTATGCTAAACATAAGATCCGCAAGTACAAGGTGTAGACTCTACTATTACAAAGTAATATATGTTCATACATTCTTAACCTATTAAAGCTCGTAGAGTTACGGTCCTAAGGTCATCTGAAGAGTCATTACAAGAACAACGGGAGAAGGCGAATAAAAAAGAATCTGCTTTTATATTCAGTATTACAAAAAGAGATCAGGAAATTTTAGATTTGAAATTTTTCTATTGTTGGACCTAGCCATTCATGGGGAGTTCACAAGACTGAAGAATCTGGTTAAGGAGAAGGGTAATAGGGTCAATGAGTTGCAGGGCAATATTGTTGCAAGAATGGAAGCTTTTAATGGCCAAGTGCAGGACTCTGCAAGAGTTGAATGAGGAGATTGGTGATCAAGCTAATGTCATGGCAACGAAACTGGCTTTTTAGAAGTCTTAGAATGCTGAACTTATAAGCAATTTGGAAGGGTTGAGGAGACAAATAGAGGGACTGAGTAATCATGCTAAAGTATGTCATGAAATGGTATTTGTATTGCAAGAGAAGCTGGAAGAAAACGATGATGAGATTAGAAGATTGTCAAAAGAGCTTGAGATGGAGAAACTGTTAGACTAGATGAAGGGTGTTTTAGGAATTGGATGAATGATGAGGTGGAGTAGAGACAATTTTTAATACTAAGTTTGACATACAATTACAACTTAGTAGAATACTACAATTACAACTTAGTAGAATACTACGAAACATGTGTGTACGCAGACCTTAGCTTCCCTTGAAAGTATTTAAATTCCATCTAAGAAACTCCAAGCTCAAACAGCTTTACATATGATAGACCAGTGTTGTTAAAACAATCTTTGTTTATTACTCGGGAGTATTTATTGCTAGTCTCGAAGTTAATGTGATACTCCTTCCATCCTAGAATAAAAGACACTTTTTAAATGAGGTCTCTCAAAATAAAAAAACACAATTCCTTAGTTGGTTTTAACAATCTCTACTTTTCAATCATTTTTTACCCATTCATTCACTTTTACACTTTCTCACTTAACCATTCATCATATATACATTTTTAAATCTCTTTTACACTTTCTCTTATTCAAACCATGTCACATCATACTCTCTCTTGCCTTAATGTGTGTGAAATTCATTTGTGCCTTTGGTTCTGAGACGGAGGGATTATCGTTTTAGCAATTGTAACTCCTTATTTGACAACATAAAATAGTTTCATCAGCTCTTGTGTCGTCAAAAATTTATTTACTTAAAGTTTTTATGAGGTACTAACGATGAGATAAATCTCAATTTTAAAATATCATTTAGATAGTGTTTGGGAACTGATATTTTGTTTTAATTCTTGTATTTCAATTCCAAAATTTAAATTCTTGAATTTCAAACGACTAGAGAGATATACAAATTTTAAATTAAGTTTTGTTATGAATAATTGGATGATTTTTTCCTCAAATCCAAATCCAAATTTATTAGTCCCAACTAGATTTGATATCCAATCCAAAATTTCAAACATACCATTGGGTAATTTTTTCTTATTGAAAGTAATTTGAAAAATATTTTATTGAAAATAACTACTATTTTAGACATTCAACGTCAAAAAATTCAACGAGCTTATAAATTGCAGACCAGAATTGTGCTTTCGTTCTTTCCATTCAAAACAGTTGATTTTAGAGAAAATCACGTCTCCACCGCCGCCCCTTCTCTCTCTCTCTCTCTAAGCGGTTCACAAAATCCGCCATAGATTCAGGCGTAGAGAAGCCTAATCGGAGTCCAGAAACCCTCAATTGCTTCTCACATACATAGCTTTAAATTCCGCGGAAGAAAAAGATCCGTACAGTAATGGCCGGGTTGCAGAGGTCAACCACGTCATTCCGGCGGCAGGGCTCGTCGGGCATCGTCTGGGACGACAAGTTGCTGTCCACCCTCTCCAACGACGCCCAAGCCGACGGGATATTGTCCGGTCCTCGCCACAAAAGGGGAATCCAACAGTCTCCGGCGCCGATTATTTTATCCAGAAGCGGCACGGGATCGATCCAGAGGAGCCGATCCATCGGCGGCGGCGGAGGAGGGTTCCGCTCCAGGAGGGTGTCAACGGACATAGAGCCGCCGTCTCCCAGGGTATCCGCGTGCGGATTCTGCGGCGTCTTCGGAAAACAGGAGAAAGTTCGCCGTCGATCCAAGATTCCCGCCGGGATAAGGAGGATTTGAGGGTTTGCCGGTGGCTGATTCCGGCGAGCCGCCTGGGATCTGGTGATTGTTTGTTACTTTTCCACTGTTGTAAAAGCATATAATATTCAAGTCATAACTACGATGTGTCAGAATTTTGGGGGAAAAAACAAAAATTAAAGTTTAAATTATCTTTTTTTTAATTTGATTTTTTCTTCTTCTTTTTGATAAGTGTAGATTGCATTTTCGTTTTCATCTTTGATGAATGAAAAAGATGAATTTGTACGTGAAGTGTGACTCAAATCTTATCTTAATGAAACTTTTTTATTCCCCTTCATTTGAGACAATATAACAAGAAGTTATGGAGTACTTTTTTTGAAAAAAATTGGAAATCTTTTCATGTTAATTCCTCTTTGACTTACACAAAAATTCTTAATATATACCGTAAACCGATTGTATGATGTTTTTCGGACATTTGTAGTATATTTTTTGAAATTCAATATTCATTTTTGAGCGTCTGAATACTCATTTTTGGCTAATTAAATAATTTTTTCTTAAAAATTACCCCAATTAGGAGTAAATTATACAGAAAGTATCAAAAAAAGAATTCGTACTGTGGTAATGTGACACTATATAATACGGAGTAATGTATATGGACATTTCATAATATTTTTTTTGAAATGTATTCTATATATGGCCATGTATAATAATGTATATGGACATTTCACAATATTTTTTTTGAAATGTACTCTGTATATGGCCATGATTAACACTATAAATGCATTTTAGCTCTTATTACGAAAATAAAAATAGGAAGTCTTATTTTAATATATTTTCAATATTTTACTCCTGCTATATACTCTTTTTCTCATTTTTCTAAAATTTAATTATACTTAAAACTAAATATTTATTTATTTGAAAATAAGTATTCAATTACTTAGAAATCACTATTGATGTAGGTAGATATACATTGTACATTTCATAGTTTGGCACTCAAGAGAATAAAATTTGATTACATCCTTAAACATTGGATATATACACTCAAGACGAGAATAAAGTTGATGTTCTAACATTGATGTCTTTCTACTCGGTATGTTTTATCAATTTATATTTAAACTTAAAAAATAATTTCACAATAAAATACTTCGTACTGGGTATTTGATAAGAAATGAAATAAAAGTAAAAGAGTTTTCCCTTTTAAATTTAACTAGTGCCAATCCCGTGCTTTGCACATGCTCGTATACATTTCAAAAAATTTGAGATTCTATAAATGTAATTTTTTATTTTAAATTTCTAATAGTGACAAAATATGTTTTAAACTGGTGGAATATATATTGATATATTAATCTAAAAACAAAAATTTTTATACAAAATTAGTGATCATTGAATAAAGTACTAATGAAAATGGTTTTAAATAATAACATATTATAATAAAAATGGACTAATGTCATGAATTAAATAATCATACATCATTAGAGATTAGAGAATGTATATGTGGCATAATGTCATTTGTCACCCTTCAATTAAACCAACTTTATTCTATTTACTTTGTTGAAAAATATACTCCGTATGTAGTAATAAATAAATAATGTGATAAGATAAAAGTTTTGAAGCAAATTATTTAATTAATAAATATGCATATGTGATTAAATTTATATAATTATTTTTTGAGAAGTAATAAACTAAAATAAATGGTGAATAGTATAAAAAAACATATATATATATATATATATATATATATATATATATATATATATATATATAATAAATGGAACTTCTATTTTTGTACGTTTTCTTTGTTTTGTTCCTATTTAAGGTTTAGACAGAATACTGAATGAATATTCACTAATAATATACCTATTACATCTTATCTTTATTAGATATACTTAGATAGTTTTAGAAATTGAACCCAAAATTATTCCTTTTTTAAATCTACTAAATATTAAAAAGTTAAAGATTTTAAGAGACTTAATTAATCAATCCATTTATTCAATTTTTTTTTAAGAAAGTGATTGATTGCATATTGCTCTATTGGGCCCATAATCCCCATATGTATAGATGAGATTATGAGCTAAATTAAAGACGAAACACTAAACACTCTTTCGTAGAAACTTCGAAGGGGCAAAATGAATAATTTTAGGGCCCAAAGAGGAATTAATGCACTTCAAATCAAACAAAAAATGGTTGGGAATTGGACACAGAACTTGCCAAACAAACTCTATCGGATTCTTTGTCTTTTTTGTCTCTTATTTCACCGGACGACACACATATGTTTGGCTGCCGGTCCTTTCTAATATAGAGGTGTCATTTCTAAAGATGATGTTATGTTCGTACTAGTTAGTTAGCTATTCTTTTAGCAAGATAAAATCTCATATTTTCATGAAGAGTTTTATTAGATAAAACCTTCTATTTGTTAGAAGAGCTTTATTGTCAAATAACCAATTCAACCAAAAGCGAGTTATTTATATTCTAACACGCCCCCCTCACGTGCAGGCGTAGTTTTTTTCGAGCCTTGCACGTGAAACTTTAATTTTCTTAAAACTGGGTGGCGCTGAGTTTCGAACCTATGACCTCTTAGTCAACAAGGCTCTGATACCATGTCAAGGAACCAATTCAACCAAAAGCTCAAGCTTGTGGTTGTGGCCCAAGATGAGTTATTTATATTCTAACATTTATTTTATTTAGACTCGTAGAGTGGTTGTAGTTTTTGAAGTTGACACAGAATATGCTCATATTGTACGAGTTCAAAAGTTTGTGCACGGAAAATTAAGCTACAATCGGTAACTTTTGGAATTAGAGACATATAAAGATTGTTACTACATGCTAGGACTTATTTATAATAAATCGAGCTCGTATTTAAAATGCTTTAGGTTATTTGTGGGTCAAGATTAAAAAATTTGTATTTAATACAACTTCTACTAACTTATTCCTACTAAGATTGGGTCTGGAGATGCCTATACAAAACGAAGCACATCCCTAGAAATTCATTGGAGCGATTAAGAGGGAAAAACGTAAAATATACGCTGATGTAAAGCGTTTCTGATCCGTCGCGTCCCAGAACTTTCCTTGCGTGAAGAAAGTTACGATCTATATGAAGATGGAGATTTTCAACAAAAAATAGATCGTGACATCCAAGAGTTGAACCAGAATTAAATGAGTGGGCTGCCAACACGTTTGTCCTTGTGACCTCACGGAGATGTGACAACCAAAGTGGATTTATTAAGATACGAGTTAGAAATTCTAGATTAGAAGTTTTGTCATAACAATCCAGAGAATTGTGTCTTATTATGTTGTTATGTACCGGTGTAAATTGCATCTAGTGATTGAGTGGAGAACTATTACACGGACGAAGGCCCCACAAAGTAAGAGAGTTCTCTGAACTGCGTAAACAAATCCAGTGTTCTTTTTTACTTTTTATAGTTACGGCCATAGTTTTAAAACCAGACCAGAGGCCGAACCGGTCAAAACACTGGTTCATTGGTTTACTAGTCGAACTAGTGGTTCATGTGGTTAAATCAGAGGCTGGAATGTGTTATAGCTAACTGTCTGTCAGCTATTACTGCGACAGTGCTGCAGCACCTTGACCGTTCAAATACAAGAAATATCCTGGGATAGGAGTAAAAAAATTTAAAAATACCAAAGTAGGAGTCTTATGTCTTTTAAGGCAAAAATAAGAGTATAAAGACAATGTGGTGTAAGAATACATACACATTGACAATGTCATGAAAAAGTTATGACAGTGTAATATGTCAGTGTGATCAGTCAACCATTGGCAGTCTGCAGCGACACTCTGTTAGCTGGCGGCGATAGATGATAGTGTGGCGGTTAGAATATGATGAGTGTGACAATGTAATAATGAAAATGTGAACTTCTATTTAGATCTTAAAAACTTATGACTCATATTTTGGTATTTTGATATTCTTTTTACTGGAATTTGCTAGGTGTACCCCACGTCAGTGTACCCCAAGTGTCCCCCACCTTCTTACAAAGACATACTACAGACACCCATTCTCTGTGTGAAACATAGACAATGGGTATCAGTGTGTGTCCGTGTGAAGGTGGTGTACACTTCAGGTACATCACCATAAGGTACACCTAGGTTTTTCTTTTTTACGGGTTGAGTGATCCTCGGGTGCCTGACTGATTCTAAGACCTTATGTACAACTATTCTCGACACTTAAATCGCTCACATCTAAGCCCCAATCTTAATCATTTAACCCCAAAAGTATCATGTTAAGTCTCTAGTCAAAATATCATCTTTAATCATTTATCAATATATTAAATTTAATTATACAAAATATGGCTATTGTCTAAAATTCAAAGCTACTGGAGGAAGTACGATTGATCTGTACAAGCCACTGTCAACCATTCCTACGACCTTCTGGAAACACTGTGACGGTGGACAGGGGACGACAACGGTCGACCGTTATGTCTCAAAATTTAAGTTGGGTTTGGGGTGAATAGTAACGAAGGTTGAAGCCTTGGTCCGTAGGGGACAATGGAGGACCGTTATGTTGCAACAAAGTTAAATCCTTCATCATGAATAGTCTTGCTGGTCAACTTCGGTGGACCGTTCATACCGACGGTTGACATGGCAGATTTGACTTCCTCATTCAGGCGGTCCACTGGACAATCGACCGTATCGAGCCAAGTGGTCTACTGCATTTTCGGAATGCGAGTTTCAAAGTCTATTTTTACTTAGTTAAAATGTACTTTTCTCCATTTTTACCCACATAAGATATTGACAGAGTGATATAATATAAAAATATCATAGTTTTAACGTAAGGTTCATGCGAGGGTTTCCGTATAGTATTTTCCATATTTACGGTGATAATGATAATAACTACGAGACTACGTTCATGCACATGAATGATTCTACAAAATCTACGTCGAACATAAGTCTGGGGTACAAACCTTGATGTTCGTAGGAGAACGCAAAGATTCTAACATCTCAATGTACAGTCAACAAACGAACGTCACTATTTACTTATAGCTTTCGTTGTCTTGAGGTCTTCTCTTCGAACCTAGAGTTTCCTTCCCAAAACTCCATTAATGGTGGAAGGAAATTTCAAGGAGAAGAAGAAAACTTGCAGGAAATTTAGTAGTATTTTAGGTGGTGAGATGAAGAGGATGGAGTCTCTTTTTAATTAAGAAACTTGCAGGGGTGTTTTCTCATCATTACCACCACACTTAACTATTCACAAGAGGCCAAGGTCAAAATATTCTTTCCGTATTTATTTTATTGACTTGATAGAGTTTGAATTGTTCGGATCAGTGATAGGTAATATCTAAATCCAACCAAACCACTTCAAATTTTGATTTATCCAATCGA